CCTCCAGAACTTCCGGGAGGCCCATTTTTCACCCTCCCCGGGCTCCGGAGGCTTTCCTTGAGTCTCTGAAAGGCCATTTTCGCTCTCCCTAGGCTCTGGAGGATCTCAGGGAGGCTGAAAACGGGCCCCTTCTGAAACTTCCAGCAGGCCTGGTTCTTTTGTCCTCCCTGAGCCTCCACACGGGCCCTACGCTTACCTGTGATCCAAAACGGACCATGCGGTGGAGTCCTAGGAGGGGAGGGGTGGGATTTGCCAGTTCACCAAACTGGCCATAAAATTTAACAACCGGTTCTCCCAAACCAGTGCGAACCGGTAGCAGCCCACCCACTGCACCCCAAAGGGGCATCTCTAAAAGATCTCCCCACAACTTCTGGGTACAACATGCATGGATCTTTCCCGCCAAAGGATCCGATAGATGCTGGAGCCCCCTCCCCGCCCCTCCCCGCCCGTCCCCGCCCCACAGTCCTTGTTGAAGTCACACACACACACACACACACACCTCTGGATCGGTTCTCGGGTGTCTCCTTACTGTTGGTACTGCTAGACCCATTGGTCTTAGGTCGCTTGGGTGGCGGCGCAGGATCTGGGGGGCTCGAGTCCTCTATGATGATGGTGGGAAACGGTTTAACATCTGCCAAAAATAGATCGCTGTTGTAACTTTGAACGGACATTAAACAAATTGTTGTAAGCGGAGCGCTATCTGTGATTCTTACTGTCTATAATTGCCTATAATCAATTCCTTCAGAAATGGTAATAATCAATAAGATATTTGTATGCGCTGAAATGGACAGATTGACAGTGTTATTGAAAAACAAGAAAGGAGAGTATTATAAAATATGGGATAGTTTGGTACAAATGCTTAAGGAGAAGACGCAAAGACGTCAAATGATAATGTATGAGAAAGTACAAAGTAATATTATATATGTGTGTGTGTGTATGTGTGTGTAAATAAATATATATATGCATTTAGGTACAACAATGTTTAGAATGAGGAAGAATTTAATATAGCACTGGATAATATAAATGTTAATAACTATCGTAAACACTGTTACAGTATCGTTGCAAAATGTGGAAATTTGTTTTTAATTGTTGAAACATTGAATAAATAAATTATTTTTAAAAAAATTCCTACTGCCTGTAATTTGCCTATAATCCATTCCCAATATCACTTTTAGTCATACAATCAATTCCCAATAATCGCCTATCATCGTATCATCACCTATACTCAATTCCCAACACCCATCATCCCCTTCTTTTAATGACCCCATAATCCCTTGCGGGTCGGAGTCTGGGCAACTGAATGGAGCTGAATGTTTCACTGGCCGGATGCCCTTCCTGCTGCCGATGCGGAGTTATATTCAGTGGATATATCCTCATTGTACCCAGAGAGATACCCCAAAAACCCAGGTGAGCAAATGTAACCAATCTTGGCATCCCTGCTTCCCAGCCTGCAGGGTTACAGCCCACAATCCCGCTGCCCTTTGCTAGGGAAGCCCAGGGCGGGGTGGGGGGTGGGGGTCTTACCTAATGTCTTGGGGGGTCTTAGCCCCTTCTCTCCCATGGGCTTGAATCCCTGGTTGGCCCAGTCCATCATGGGTTTCAGCTTCTCATCCAGAGATTCCCCGGTAACGGTGGAGAAGGTCTTCTCCGCTCGGCTGCTTGCAACCTGCAACGCACAAGAATTTTGGTCACAGCAGGATTGGGGCTGGGGGCCGCAGAGCTGGAGGAAATGCCCAGAAGCCCCTTCTCCATTCACCAGGCCATCGACTATGCAAAAATTCTATGGTGGATCTGCTCAAATCCCACCCAGGGAAGGGTCCCAGCCTGGAGCATGGATGGGTTTGGAAGCCCACCTGGAGTGATTTGGATTTGGCAGTGTACACACACACAGACACACACGCACACAACTCTCACAAAAGTATTTATCAGCAAATGAGGGGAAGGAATGTCCCTTCGAGGGCAATCAAGGGCGATTTTTACTGCAGCCATGTACAGCTGTAGCTCTGGGTTGAACTGTGGGGGTCCTTAGCTGCTCTCTGATGTTTGGATGCTTTCTGGCAGACATTTCACGACCCAACTGGGGAACATCCTCACGGCGAGGAGGAGGAGGAGGAGGAGGACTGTGGGGGTCCTTAGAGCTCTCTGAGCTTGGTAGTTTTCTTGCAGACCTTTAATTACCCAACT